CTTAGATATTCTTTTGATGTCATGTACAATTACTGTTTTATTTTTCAATTCAGAAATGCATTTCTCATCTTTGTGCTTGAATGATAAAGTGTTTTTGCAAATCACAGCAGGGAGTTATTTTTATAACTTTGTTAGTGAACACACTGACGGAAATGTCTGTAAAATTACGCTAAAGGTAATTAAGGTAAAAGCATTAAAACCTGCAATTGTGGCAGAGATGTTTAATAATTTTTAAGACCAGATTTCTTTAAACTTCATAAAGAAGTACAACAGTGCAAGTTTTGAGCATTATTGGGTTTTAAACCATTTCAATTTTTACTGTTTTATTGAGAGAATTGTTTGTATTAATATGTTTTTTTATGCTTTAATAATTCAAAAATAATTTGACTATATTGGCAGTATTGGAAGCTTTTACAAATTTAACACGTCCGATAATTCAAAACAGAATATTGCCAGTTCAGGGTTTAATTATAGATATTTCTTGGTGAATAAGACCCAGATTGTTTTACCCTGAGGTACAGAATGTGATAAGAGGTGTTAAATACAGAACAGGAGTGGGACTGTAGAGAATCCAATTACAGGGACTCACCAGGCTGTGTGTCTGGCTCTTTGGAAGGGGCTGTGGCGTGGCAGTGCGGACAGCAGGCAGGGCAAAATGCCTGAGATGGATGACCTCTCTCCTCCACGGAGCCAGGTGGACCCAGCCCAGATCCAGAGGAACGTCCTGGAGGAGCAGGTGGAGCTGTGGTGGTTCCGGGAGCCCCGCAAGTCCATCCTGTGCTACTGCACATCTCTGGTGCTGATCCTGGGCTGTGGCATAGGGGGCGTGGCGCTTTTGTCCACCACCACCAGCTTGTCCAGCGAGTGGAGACTGGGTGTCGGCATGGCCCTCTGCTTGCTTGCCCTGGCCGTGCTCCTCAAGCAGTTGCTGAGCTCCGCCATCCAGGACATGAACTGCGTGCGCAGCCGCCAGCGCATCGAGATGCTGAAGAGTGGGGGTTTCTCTGACCTGCTGGTCATCCTGCTCACTGGACTGGCGCTGGTGATCTGTGGGATTGTCCTGCTCAACCTTGCCCTTGCCAGTGGGATGCCCAGGCCTGGGCTCACCCTGAATGACATGTTCATCTCAGGGGTTGTCCTCGCTGCTGCAGGGTGCGTGACTGTCTTGTCCTTGGCAGGGTACTGCATTGTGGTCTTTATCCTCAACAGGACAGATGCTGGCCAGAGGCTGCGGGACAGGGGTGTCAGGATCTTTACCATTTCTGGACAGATGAGAGAAACCACTTCCAGCATGGCCAACCTAATCTAGTATGATCCCAGCAAAAGGGCAATACTGTGGGCTGAAGGGGGAAGCTGAAAGGTTTAGTATGTGTCATAGTTTTCTAAAATGTCCTATAACTGTGGTTGAAAAGGGAAGATGTTCTGTGCTCAGGTAAGTCATGACAGGAGGACTGTGAATAGGTGATCTGTGAGACTCAAGGAACTGTAAGAAGAAACACCAGCATGAAGGAATTATACTGAAAACAGTTGGTGTTTTTACAATAGCAGATAGCACATTACAAAACATGCTTTTAAAAACATAAATTCATACTGATCTCACCAAATGAAAGCAGATTTTCACACCCAGAACAGGTTTGAAGAAAGCTGCAAAGCTACAAAAAATTCCACTAAAAAATTACTTGAATGAGAAAAATGTCTGGCTATCTGTCTCTTTGATTATCTTAACCTGTCTAGTTATTTGTCTGCTGTTGTACACATCTCTTTCTAGCTATCAGTCTTCTACCTATCAGCCTTCTTTCTGAAGCTAATTGATCATCCATCCATTTCTTGAAGAAGCCAGGGTATCTGCCATCAACATGGTTGAACACCTTCAGAGCACTGCAACCCTTTGGGTTAAGACATGCATTCTGTTTTAAGTTTTAAATGCACCTCTGTGTCCTCTGGTTTGTGTTTAACTATTGATTCTGAGGAAGTCCATAGGATTGGCTTCATCAGTGCCTTTGAGGACATGTGTAGTACTGTATAAGTATATGTAATACAATAATACTTGAATGCGATCTACTCAGTCCTGCCTGTTCAGTTCTTTCAGTCTGTCATGGTAAGACATTCCTTTGATCCTTGCTGCAGTATTGTAAATGTGATCTTACTTTTATGTTGTACAGTTTTAACATAACATCCCTGTGGTTGTATTCTGTGGTTATCTTATTGCTATAGTGATGATCCTCTAGTTTAGTTATAATTATTTTTTCTATAATCTTGCAATGTAATAGAGACTTATTGGTCTATAAGAGTTTTGTCCCCTTGTCTCTAGTCAGTAGATATTACTCCATCTTAAGTGACTGTTGGAGCTCTGTTAATGGTCTATTAATAACATTTCGTGTATCATTATAATTAAGAGAATACAATCAGGACCCAGAGTGCATCTTAGGTACTTCTAAAGCTTGTAACACATCTATTTCTTCTATGCTGATATTATTTAATATACAGTTTAACTTTGTCTTTCTTGAGGCATGTAGTCTGTTCCTTTCTTTTTAAACATCTAAATGAAATATTTAATATGTTAGCTATCATCTAAAATATTACATCTTTTTCTCTGAGAAGCTTACTTAATCTTTTGTTGTTCTCTTGCTGTTGTAATATTTATTTGTATTTTCTTTCATTTAATTCAGTCTTTTAGCCCTTTTATAAATTATATTAATTTTACATAACTAGGGCAAGTTATTTTTAAATGCTTTATATAGTGCTTTCTTTCTCCTTATATACTTGTTGATTGATATATTGAACCAACTTTGGCTACTGCTTGTCTGATTTTGATTTGCTTACTCAAATAATAAAGTTTCCATGGTTAAGGCAGCATATCTTTAAGCTGTTGCCAAACATTTTCTACTGGTTCTAGTCTATCCTCTTCGTATCCCATTCTACTTCTGTTAAGCTCTGTTTCATTCTTTGAGTCCTGCTTTCCTGCTTTTGGACTCCTGTACTCTCTCAAAGTATACTTCAAAGGACACCATATTATAATCATAGATCTCCATTGGACCTCTGTGATCTCTATTCTCCAACCTGTCTTGATTGTTTGAAAAGGCTAAATCAATAAAAGCATTCCACGTAGTAGGTGTTCTGAGAAAGTGATTAAGAAAGCAGTCATTGGCCCATGGGAAGGGCTTCAGTTTGGTTCATATTCATGAGCTAATCACACAAGCCATTTTTAATGACATTTTAAAGGATGTTCATATAACATTACATTTATATAATATCAAATGTTTTAACTTGTCAGGATTTCAGAATGATTTAATCTGATTTAATCCGATTCCTTCCTTTCTGAAATGTTTGCATTCTTGAGAGAAATTTCCTGAGGTACACGTTAAGAATTTTAAAAATCTTAACATGTACCTGCCATTACAAAGGTGAAACTTGTTCTTCCTAAAAAAACCTCAAGTACCGATACATCCAATCTAATTATACAGTGGTTTAGAAAAGATATGCAGTACATGCTCAATAAAGTAAACAACTAGCAAAAATCGGGGACCAATTTGTACATATAACCAGTGTTTTTTTGCAGTCACATCAGTTACTTTCTGTGACATAATTTGCCCTTCATGAGCAGCCAATCTATTTTGCCTCCCAAAAAATGTATCTTTTACATTTACAATATACAGTCCTTCAGAGTGCATATTTTTGGAAAATGTCCCAATTAAGATTAAATCTTATAGAAATCCTGACAGACCATTTAGTATTATATTTACAGCCCAAGTCATTTAAGCCATTCAACATCATGAGAGGAACTTTGTCACTGAAAACATATCATAACTCCAACCAAATCTAAGGTATGTGATTTATACATATAAAATCTTAACACATAGTCTCTTGTGATGTTTTACAGAACTTTTTTTTTCTGAAGAAATGCTTGTACTGTTTGTTTTATTTCTGAAATTGTGTCATAAATCATTATTAATTACAAATAAATAATAGGAAATTGCTTCACCGGAGACTATTGATCATGCCACAGAGTGTCAATTTAAAATTCTGAAAAAAAAATAGAACATAGTAAATGCTTCCTTCTCCAGTTGAAGAACAATATTCCCAAAAAATTTTTTTTATCCCTGAACAACTTTTATTCCTTACCTGTCTCAGCAATTTCTTACTGTACTTGAACTTGATTTGTACTTACGCATGAGGAATGTCACTGGACTTTGCTGTTTACAGACTGATTTTTTACTTCAATTGTGTCTGATGTTGTGTAATACAACTTATTATAAAATTAAAACTTTAATCTGTAACAAAGACAAAATATCACTTATTTTAATGCTGGAAACCAAACTCCAAATTAAAGCATCTTTTGTGTGGTAAAAATATAAAGAAGTTATTTGCAAGCTCTTATATAGTATTTCTAATGATGAAAGATGCCCCTGTATATTAGTTTTAATTACAGTATTTGTATCTTGTCAATTTTTGTACTGATGTTTGTATAAAGCACATGAAAAAAAAGTCATTCAGCTTTTTGCTTTGAGATGGTAATATTCTATAAAAAAAGGAAAATGAAACTGAAGGGTTTTATATTTAATGTTGAAATCAAATCCTTTCCCTCCTTTCACTTTTTTGCCCGGCTAGTTTGGAAATTAAATGTCAAAACTGCTGACCAGGTTATTCACAAACATGTCTTTTTTTTAAATGTCTCTTAACATAAAGACTTGACTATCCTCTGGTGTTGCTCTCAGATCGTTAGACCTGCTGTTGTAGTTTACTGCCCAACAAACTCCTAAATAGGATCCTGCCAGATGCTGTTTGCAGACACAAAACACCTATTTGGATATGATATTACTTTTCTGTGACTTATGGCAGACAGCTTGAAACCCCAATAAAACAAAAGGGATTGTGCCCAAGGGCTACGTAATCCTGCCATTTGACACAGCCAGTACTGTTCCAGCACACTGTAAAGTGATCTAGGAGCAGGGGCAGGACGTCTGTACTGGGTGACACCAGCTCTCCACAGTCACAGCTCTCCCTTTGTTTGTGCCTTGCGCTGTCTATTGTCACCAAGAGACAGATGACTCACATGTCGAGGCAGATAAACACAGACCTAGGGACAAGTGTGTACACACAAACACAATTGAGATTTTCACTTGTGTTGTTAAAGCCCCCTTACAGGCAGCTGGCTCCTCAAGGTAAAAAGGCTGAAAGACCAGGAGCGGTGCCTCAGAAGAACAAACCAGAAAATCAATCCAACACGTTCCCCTTCTTGTTATTTTTACCCTATTGTTCCCCCCCCCCTCCTCTTAAAAATAAATTAAGGAATTAAAAAAAAATGATGTTCTTTGAAATACAGCATTTCCAATTCAACTACATTTTTGAAGCTGGTATACTGTAGCTCTGTGTATTCAGCTATGCCACCACATTTTTTTGATTGATTGTATTTCCTTCTGTTTCTCAAGTTCTGTTTGCCAAACACACAGGGAACATCCTTTGATTTGCTGCAGTCACACTCCATTCTGCTTTTTCAGATACTGCTCTATGGGCATGAATGAGATCTTTCTCTTGGGCAGCAGTGTGGATTTGCTTTTTGGACTCGTGGGCTCAAATCCCAGGTGGGACACAGGTGTTACAGCTTCGAGTCAGATACCTCACTTTAATTGCTCCAGTATATGCCCTGCTATATGTATGGATACTGTGCATGTCATCACTGGAAATGAGAATTTGTTCTTAACTGACCTGTGTGGTAAAATAAAAAAAATATCAGAAGTAATATTTGGCACAGTGCTCTGGCACACTCTGTTGTTTTTAATATGGTTCACTTTTCTATTATGATCAAAATCTTTATTTCCAGAATTCTGATGTTTTTTTATCATTTTTCAAATATATACAGGAATCGGGTAGTATTTAAATGAACTATGGAAATTGTCTGCAATTCTATTTTGAGGAATCATGCGCTTTCTTTTGTGTAATTATATAAAAATATTAATTTATTGAGATGCTTGATTGTCAATGACAGACACGTCCTCAGATTTACTGAGCTGTACAGTATAAAATTAGTGGGGCAGAAATTGCCAAGTCTGAGCATTATAAAAAATACATTGAACACACACACACACA